GGGCCGGCGGCTGCAGCGCCGGGCAGCGAAGCGGAGGCGGGGAGTTACAAAGAGGGGCTGACCGCGGGCGGGACTGCTGAGGGCAGGCTGTTTTACAGAGAGCACGACGGGGGCACAACGAGGCCTGGCCGAGTGTCAGAAATGTCTCCTTCCCTTTGAGGGATGAGTACTGGCTTGCAGGAGCAGATCTTCCTTTTATCTCCTGAGAAAAGGATCAGCTTGAAGTGGCGGGACTACAGCGGCCGAGGGAGACGGGTGGGCTGGGACCCGCTCTCGGCCTCTCTCAGGAGCTGGTTGAAATGGGTCAGTTGATGGAAAAAACCTGAGTTTGTTTTTGAAGGGAGACTTTCTGTTGGTCAGTGATTTTATTTTGGCGGTTAAATATGATGTTTTCCTATTGTGAGAAAACAGTTACTAAAAGCTCAAAGGCAGATGGTGCCTCGGCAGTGCCCAAACTTGAGCGCCTAACTAGAGGCCTGTGCGGAGACCCACTGCAGTGGGCGGCTCTGAAGCGCGGTCACAGAAATAGCCCTGTGCCCTTAGTCACCCGCTCTTCTCACTGTCATCACTGCATGCAGCCCTTCACCACGCCGCACCAGTCCCTTTCCCTCAGCCTCTGTCCCCCTCAGCCTCTCCTACGGGCCAGGTGTTATCTCCAGCACACCTAAGAATAAAAAGGTCACAATTTTCTCACTCACAACTTCAGTCTCACCGGCAAAGCCAGCAGAGGCCAGGCGCTGGGGGATCAGCCTCACTGTGGAGCCCGCCCGAGAGCCGTGAGTGGGAGCCTGGTCCTCCCAGCAGACTGGAAACAAGCAGCCCATCTACTTTGTGGTTCAGGTTTCCCATGGGAGAAATTCAAATTAAAGCACCTGCCCCTGTTTTGTGTCTGGATAAATAAAACACCCTAAATTGTTTTAAAATTTTAATTAATAATTAATTTAGAAGAAATTATCACTGCTATTTTTAACATGTGTTTGTTACCATTAGATTATAAACTCCATGAAGGCAGAGACCGTTCATCACTCAGGCACTATGTGTTCAGAGAAGGTGTGTCCTGAGGATTGATGGACTTCTTGGGAATTTTCCCAACTTTGATAATTAGGAGAAAAGGACAATTAAGTAGGCAAATTCTTAAAGGAGCTATAACACCCTGCACTTATAGTTAGGCGATCAGGTTTTCTTTATTATGGCATCCCAGACTAGCTGTGCTATATGGACAAGTGTTTCCGGTTAGTCTCAAAATAAGGCAGCATAGCGCAGTTCAAGTATTTCTGAGGGTCTATGATGTGCTGGGTGCAGTGGTGAAAAAGACAGGCGAGATCTGTGATCTCATGGAACTTCTTCTAGTTGAGTGGGTGTGAGGAGGGGAAGATGACAATCACCAAGTCAACCATTAAGTAAAGATGTGCTATAAAGAAAATAAAATTGGGTGATATGGTAAAGGATGAATAGGGGACGAATGTAGGCAGGGTGGTCAGACAAGTTCTCCCTTAGAGATGTCTTTGAGGTGAAACTGAGGGGGTAAAAGGAACCAGCCATGTGAAGATTGAGAGGCACTCTTCTATGTATTCAGAATGGCAGGTGCAAAGGTCCTATGGCCGGAGCGAACTTAGTGTGTACAGAACAAAAGGCCAGTGTGGCTGGAGCAGAGTAAGAGAAGGGGGAAGGAGAGTAGCAGAATAAGGAAAGGGGCCGTTTATGGAGGCACTATGAGAATGTTGGCTCTTGCTCTGAGTGAGATAAAGAATAAGGTTTTGAGTAGAGGAGTGTTTTGTTTTGAAAGTAGTTTATGTTTTGAGAGGATCACTCTGGCTCCTGTGTTGAGAATAGACTATAGAGGGTAAAGAGTAGCAACAAGGAGAACATCTAGGAAACTACTGAAAAACCCAGGAGAGAGAGGTGGCTTGGGTGGTGTGGTAACTGTGATAAGAAGTGGTCAGAGTCTGGAGATGTTCAAATGATATCTTGATGTGGGAGAAATATAGAAGGCAAAAAGGATTCCAAGGTTTCTGGCCTGAACAATTGGAAGTTTGGAGGTTGCCATTAACTGAGATGGGAGAGGCTGAAAGTAGAGTAGTTTTGGCGGGAAGATCCAGAGTTCAGTTTTGGGCGTGTGAAGGATGAGCTGTGCCAGGGGAGATGTCAAGTAAACCATTAGATGCGGAAGTCTGGAGTACGGGGAGAGGTCTGTCCTGGAGACATACATTTGGACATTGATAGCAGGGGTGGCATTTAACGCTATGGGATTGGGTGAGATCTCCAAGGGAGAGAGGTCCTGGGGAAGAGATGCAGGACAGATGAGGAGTGTCTTCATGGAGCTTGCTTTCCAGAATGTGTTGAGGAAGATGCCTAGTTCCTATCTTTGAGTCCCTACTTTCCCTCAGGCTGATTTGGTTGGATTTCATTCATTTTTCCTGAACTGATCTCTGGCTCTACTATCAGATGCCAGTGTTCACTGATTCCTGAAACTGCATGAATAGCCAACACCAGGGCAAAAAATGATCTTTGATGATTGGGACCCATCTATAAATTTGGAGGAACCACCTAAAGTGAATAAGGTATACGTACAATGTTTAATGGAGTCCGAGTGGCTCCTTTATGTTGTTCCATGGAACATTTTGAATTAGCATAATCTAGGAGTACAGATGATTCTGCCATAACATGTCTTCTCTTGCTTTGAAGTTGGTTTCTTGGCCCTTTCAGTTATGGAGTCCCTAAATCCAAGCTTTGTTGAAGCTTGAAGGATGATAGCCACACCCATGGGGAATTTTGAACTTAAGGATTTAAATATTTCTATGCATTAAAAATTGTGCTTTCTGGGAACTAGTGAAAACATGAATTATTTTTTTGTTTTGACTCAAGCGATAGTGTAAGGATAAATACAGATTAAAAATAAAAGGCTTAATTCTCCCTACTGAAAAGTAAAGGAAAAGATTCCCCCCCTTTTTTGAGCAATTATTTTACAAAACTTGTAATTGTATGTACTTTCTCGTCTCTCTGAAATGTATATAAATCTCTTTGAAGACAAGATTGGCATTTTGTCAGTTTTCTGACCTGGAATGTCTTTCTCAAGGACCTGAACGTCATCTTTTTGACATGTAAACATTAAGAGAGAGAGTCCTAGGGGCTGGCCCCATGGCCGAGTGGTTAAGTTCGAGTGCTCCACTGCAGGCAGCCCAGTGTTTCGTTGGTTCGAATCCTGGATGCAGACATGGCACACTGCTCACCAAACCACGCTGAGGCAGCGTCCCACATGCCACAACTAGAAGGACCCACAACGAAGAATATACAACTATGTACCGGGGGGCTTTGGGGAGAAAAAGGAAAAAATAAAATCTTTAAAAAAAAAAAAAAAGAGAGAGAGAGAGTCCTGGATCCCACAGTTTCTGTGGGGAGGGTAGGAACCTAACTTCTGGTAGGTGCATTGCTTGAACTTGAAAAATTACTTTCGACCATAAAGGTGTGAGAAGTTTGTTTTTTCTCTTGATAAAGCCAATTAGCTAACACAGATGGTCACCCCAATTACCAGGTAAAGTTAGGACAGTTTATGTGTGACAAATGGTGCTATCTAGTCCTCTGATTTGAAAACTAGTTACTATTTATCTTGAGAACATGTATGTAACGAGTTCTGTTTGGCTATAGAAAAGGGTGAGATTTCTTTCTATCTTTGCATCTGTTAGCGGATTGCTTGTAATGCCTTCATCTTTTGGTTTAATGCTTATTCAATAATAAACATGTTTTCTTTGTCTACTACTTTTGTGGAGAGGTTTTCTGGATTGAGAGAAGATTTTGTTTTCAATTATATTTCCTCAACGTTAGTTTCTAATAGATATTCAAATTACTGGCGTACTTCACTTCTCTAAAATTTCCTTTCAAATACTCATGGGTGATTAATTTCTATGACTTTTTGCTCTTAAAAGTAGAATTGACATTTGAAGACTAGATTCTTCTACTCTTAGGGATAATTTGAATCACTGTATTATTGGTATAATTAATTTTTGGCTCTTTTGAAATGTTATACTCATGTTCGAAAGATAATCACTAAGAGATTTAGGGCACTACTCAGGTTCTGTTGGGATAGGTACTAATTTGCTAGGGCTGCCATAACAAATGACTTTATAGTTCAAGTAACAGAAATTTATTTTCTCATCATTCTGGAGGCTAGAGGTCCAAGATCAAGGTGTTGCAGGTTTGGTTTCTTCTGAGGTCCTTCTCCTTGGCTTGCAGATGGTACCTTTTCCTTGTGTCTTCACATAGTCTTCACTCTGTGCATGTCTGTGTCCCAGTCTCTTCTTATAAGGACACTAGTCAAATTGGATTAGGTCTCACTCTAATGATCTCATTATAACTCAATTACCTTTTTAAAGACCCTGTCTCTGAATACTGTCACATTCTGAGGCACTGGGCATTAGAACTTCAACATAAGAATTTTTGGCAGATACAATTCAGCTCATAAGAGTGTACATATTCAAGTTGCTATTCAAGTATGTGCAAAGTTAGTTTGCTCAAAGTGCTGTGAAAACCAGAAGATGACTGTCATTTAAAATAATTTTTATGGGATTACCATTCAGCATCCTACTTGTCTTAGTCACTAGAACCAATATCTCCAAATTTATACCCTATATTTTGTTTTTCTTTCTTTTCCTAAGAAAATAGGATTGTTTTTGAATAACTATTCCTTCCAAGGAGGGACAAAATGTTTTCGGGAAAATGCACCCCAAGTCTTGTGAAAATGCACTGAATTAATCTGAAAATGTACCCCACGTCTTTTTTTAGCCTCAAGTTGGCATAGTAAGTTACCTCTTAAACATGGCAGAATGAAATGTCTTTACTGTCAGCTCCACCCTAAATCACATGCATGTGAAGTTAGCCCCCAAATGGTACTTATGGCTGTTAATTAAAACTCAATTCTCTTGATGTTCGCTACTGTATGTATGGGGGAAGAGATAACAGATGTACACATTTTCTGACCTTTGCATATACTTGCATTCATTAAGAAATCAGCGCTTCCCTAAGCACACTTTGGTGACCCATGAAGTGACTTGCCACCAGGCCTTACCCTTGGAGGACGGAGGTAAAGGATGAAGAAACGCTAAAAGGTGGACATATTTTCTCCTCAGATATTATATTTGTCTCCTTCTACTAGATTTATTTTTGGCACACAGAAGAGCACATCCATATGGGGAACATTTTAAAATTGCTTGTGAAGAGCAGGCATATTTCCAAGAGGAAATGTAACCTTGCCTTCATCTGGCGTATCAGATCAATGCGCTGTAAAAGATCATGTTCTGTTACCTCATTTTTTTGAATTAGAATTAATGGCTCATTAGTCTTGATCATATCAATATTATAACACCACTTACATTTGATAGAAAAGGGAAGAAGCCTGATGGAGTGCACTTATTCCCTTTTACTCTTAGTGAATAGACCATGTGCCAGCCTCAGGGAAAACCAGCAACATCTCAGCAGTGGCCCTTTTCAAACAGGCCCCATTTAGGGCAAATGTGGACTCTTTTGTAAGAGGCTCTTGGAAGAAGAGTTAAAAGGTTCTAAAGGTTTGGGTCACTTGGGACATACATCAGTGTTTCCCCCACTTTAGGCAGCAGGCCAGAGGGGGGGAACCAGACACCCTCAGCATTTCTTTGGCCACATGTTGGACCATATGTTGGAAACTGGAAAAATAGACATTAAGAATCTTTGCTTGAACATCTCTCCCATCAGGAGTTCCATCCACAAAGGAGCATATATTTCTGCAGGGCTTAGAGAGAGCGGCAGGTTGATTCTGTAGAAATAAAAATAAGAAAGGTCACCAGGCATCAGGTCATATTATTTAAGATTTACCCCTTTCCATATCCCTAAATTATGCCAAAAGAAATAGTAACCAAAAGGACTCTAAAATTAAAGCAAAGCAAAACAAAACAAAGTAAAACAAAAGCTCCCCTTATGGAAGGAAACACCAGACCAGCAGCCAGGAGCTCTGGCTGTGTTATTCACTTTGCCACTGGCTAACTGTGTGACTGTGGTGATGGGTGTTTGTTACTCTTTGCTGGACAACACCTTTTTCTATTTTTTTTTAGAGACTTGTTCCCCACCCCCGCCCCAGGCTAGACTGTGAGGCTATGGCACATGAGTTAGTATCTTACTTCCCTGGCTACAGTGCTTGACTCAAGGGTGAACACATGACCAGACCAGGCCAAGTAGGGTCTTTCTTCGGATTTTACTGGAACTGTCAGGAAAGAGGCACTTGCTTTTCAGTAGGATTATGAATTGAAAGGATAATCTAAGCTGTTAGCTGCTGGTCTCTATTTTTACCATACAAAGGTAACCCAGAGGAAGACAGACCTAAGAAATGCCCGGAGAGAAGCAGAGCCAGCTGATCCACATTTGAATCTCTGGAGTTGGTCACTCTTAGAATTCCTTTTTATGCTGGGCAATACATCCCCCCAGTCTCGGTTGGGACTTTGCTACTTGGAACCTGCTTATTAGACTTTGTATATTTAGATTCTCCTCTTTGAGCTTCCTTTTTCTCATTTGTGAAGGAACATAGTCAATTTAGCAGATCCCTAAGTTTCTTTCCAGCTCTGAGCTTTTTAAACTAAATCTAAATATTTTGACACATTTTACCTAAAAATTTGTTGTAATAATATTTATCCTCGTAGACAGATGATGTCTCTTAGAAATCTCTAAAATTTCTCTCAAAGATTTCCTTCAATTACTTGGAACTTATGATAATTATACATGCGGTTAAATTTATCTTTATATTAACAATAGATGAAGTATTTGATGGGAAAATTGGTAGTATAGACAGGATCAGAGAGTACCATTTAAAACTCTTTTAAGCATACATACAGCTTTTAGGAGAGAGAGACGTTGAAAATCTAGCACCTATTCATTAAAGTACATCTAAGTATTAAATATAGGTATTGCATTTACTTGAAAGCAATAAAGCTAAATATTTTTCTAAAAACTTAATTAATAATTAAGACTAGGAAATCCCACCAATTATTTCAATTCTCTGTACAAATCAACAATATAGACTCAAAATTTCATTATGTGAATGTCCTTAACAAAATCTCCCTTTTTTTTTCCTTCAGTGGCATGGCTGTATGGTGTTAAAGAAACAGAATTTGAGTAGAGAAGAGAACAATTTCCCTTGAGAAAAGGCATTCAAGAACTTGGGAGAGTTAGTAAAGATTAACCAGCATGTAAAAAAAATAAATAAAGGACAGTGTCCTTTATTCAGATTTCTTTCATTGCTCCTTACCCAGATTTATCAACCTTAGGCAGGGACTGAATTAAGAAGGAACTAATCATAAATAATCTTTCCTCTCTTACCCCTTGGAGAGGCTCACAAAATTTTACTAAGCTAATTTGCTAATTTTTAAATGGAATCCAGCGTGAATAGAAATGTCTTTTTGGCGGCTCTGAAAATGTGACATCTGTTTGCAGAATAGGCTCAAAAACACAGGAGCACTTACCATGCACAGCACTTGAAAGCGATTAATTAGCACACTTAGGATCCTTTCATGATATTCCAGTCTTGATTGTAAAATGAGGATACAGATCATCAGAGTGGGGAGAAATGAGGGTTGTATAAACAGTATGGATTTTAGAACTCACAGCTTTTGATGAGGCTGTGGTAGAGTCGCTTTGTGCTCCGCCTGGACTACCAGCTCTCTGGGGGAGGGCCCTCATCCTTCCCTCCCTTCATTGTCCCCTGGGGTGCTTGCTTTCCTGTTCAGCTTATTGGTGACTCACTGTTGTGTGGTGCCCTGAGAGTGCCTGGGCTGAGATTTTGGAACAATTGCCTCACTTTAGTTGTGGGTTCTCTCATGTATCATGAGGAGCCAGAGGGAAAAAGGTAATCTATTTTCAAAAGCAGAAGTGACTTAGGAAATTCCTGATAGGGAAGTGCATCCCTATGTTGCAAAGTGTTTTCCAGTGCTAATTTCTAAGAGTAGATTCTGCGGTTTGAGTGTTTCTGCCGAAGACATCACAGATGCAGCGTCTGAGGAGTGAATGGATAATCGCGTGTTGTCCACTTCGTGTGGCTCTGAGCAAGCAGACGCAAATTGACCGTGTTCAACTCCTAACAACATATCTGGCGGGCTTCCTCTTTGTATGCAGAGGATGAATTAACCTCAGAAGCGTTTGCGAATCCCCTGTGGGGTATGTAGCCCTGTGTCGCTCAGTGGTTCTCAAACTTTGGTGTGCATAAGGAATCACCTGAGAGCTTATTAAATTACCAATTTCTAGGCCCCATCCCCAGAAATACTGATTCAGCAATCTGGGACTGGGTTTAGGAATCTGATTCCCATGCAAAGAGTTCACAAACACGCCCCGGTTCCCTAACACTGTCGTTCTAAGTGCTGTGCGGACAGTACAAATTCCTTATTGAGAATCATTCAATCACAATGGCCAGATGAGGCCCAGTGACCCACACAGGTGACATAGATGATGGCAAAACCCTACAGAATTCCAGGCAGAGTAGCACCACCCAGGACTACACACCCACAGGGAGTTTAGAGTATTGTAGACTAGATTTAGACATGAAGGTGTTTTATGAAGAATTTTAAATGTAACCCGAACTTTATAAAGAAAATCAAATCTGATCCTACCATTCCAGTTTTTTCAGATGAGGCAAATGAGATCCAGAGAGGTTCAATGACTGGCCTATATTCACTCTGCTAAGAGTTGAAGGGCAAGGCCTGGAAGCAGAGTCTTGTAATTGTGTCTACAAGTAGCCTTTGGAGAGTCTGCTCTGGATGCGGTGGAAGTAGGTATACAGACCAGCATCGAATTAAAATGACATGGGGAAACATGGCTAAATATTAATACTGTTTTTAGATTTGGTTTGACAAAGCAGAGGATGATGTGTCAATAATTTTCAGTGATATGCATAGAATATTCTATATGGGAGGAAGGTTCTGCCAGGATTCTAATCTATATATTTTCAACACGACTTAGATGTACATAAACAATATTATGTTAGCCAAGAATTTTTTTTTTAAAGATTGGCACCTGAGCTAACAACTGTTGACAATCTTCTATTTTTTCCCCCTGCTTTTTCTCCCCCAATCCCCCCAGTACGTAGTTGTATATTTTTAGCTGTGGGTCCTTCCAGTTGTGGCATGTGGGAGGCTGCCTCAACATGCCTGATGAGTGGTGCCATGTCCGGGCCCAGGATCCAAACCGGTGAACCCCTGGGCCGCCAAACGTAGAGTGCACGAACTTAACCTCTGGGCCACGGGGCCAGCCCATAGCCAAGAATTATTGAGCATGAATTATGTGCTTAGCTTTTTACACGAATTAGCTCAATCTTCTTTTTTTAAAAAAAGACCCTACTAGGTAGGTGCTATTATCCCACATTTATATATGAGAAAATTGAGACACAGAAGGATTAAGAAACTTGCTCAAGTTTCCCAGCCTAGTAAGTGGCAACGGGTGGGTGCAAATTGAGTCTTTCTGCCTCCCCAGCCCTCTCTAACACACCACTCTCTACAGAAGCCCCTGTCTGCACACGATGGCTCCACGCTTGGAGGGGTGGCAAGTTATTGGATGACAGGATTAGGAATGTGAAAGGTCTTGCTTCACTGAAACTAATGATGTAATTTAATAGAGATAACTGTAAAGTTCTATATTTAAGTTAAAAAATCAATTGCACACATATGCAGACGCTAGCCAGACAGACCTGGCTTGAATACAATTCATGTGAAAAAGACTGGAGGGCTTCAGCTGACTTTGCACTTATATGAACAAATAATGTAAAGTGGCTGCCGAAAAGCTTATGCAATTTTATAAGTAAACCAGAACAAGGTAGATGAGTCCCCCTGCATTTTAGATATGTTGGATCATAATTGGAGCTAATTGGAAAATGAATAAATCAGTTTATTTTCTGAAGGAAACAGAGACCACTCAATAGAGTTCAGAGGTGGAAGTCTTGTGTGTGGCAAACTAGAAATTTGTGGTTTTTGGCAACCCAGCGTTTGTGTCCTCATTTTCTCTCTTTCTTCCTCTTCCTTGATAACAGCACATTAGTTTTCTTTATAGAACTACCCACCCTCACCCCATTCTCTGTGGTTTTGGTGGAAATGTAAGTTATAGTGCCCTTGTGTACCATCTCCCTTTCCTGCTTCTGGGTCAAGGGATAAGTCAATGTCCCAAACTGGGCCCTACTCCACCTTTTGGGGATTTTTTTCTTGAATAGAGTGACACATGAGAAAAGATGGTTGGAGCAGAATATTCTGACACCAGCATCTGCAGGACACTGTTTGTGTACTCCTCACCAAGATTTCTGCACACTGCCCTGGTTCCTGTGTTTTTTGAGGCTGACAGCTCAATCTGAATGTAGGTACTTTTGCTTGGATCATTCTTCATGATGGATTAGCCCATTCACCCAAATAACATTAACATCCAGGGTACAGTCCTATGACCGTTGGTTTCTCCTTCTCTTGCTTCTCATTCTCGTTCTCCTTCTCTTTCTCTTTCTTCTTCTTTAGGGAAATGCTAGGTTCCAAACTTGTGTGAAGCTGTGAATATGAACAAAGGAAGTAATTTCTTCTTAGCAATCTCAATAAAATGAAATTATGTGTCTGAACTCTTTCAGAAATGCAGCTCATGTGTCTGGCACCACATGGGTGATGGATTCAGTGAGAAAAGTGTAACTTAGGTGCTAATTGAAGAAAGAAAGAAAAAAACAGTTATCAAGGCAGACGTAGGACTTTGGATAGAAAAAAACCCTAATTGAAAAGAAAGAACCAAGAAAAAGATGTAAAATTACAAGGAGGGGAAGGGAAAAAGGACGGTGATGGTGATAATTCAATGTGTGTTTACCAAATATTTTCACAGGCTTTCTTTCTTTTTTTTTTTTTATTTTAAAGATTTTATTTTTTCCTTTTTCTCCCCAAAGCCCCCCGGTACATAGTTGTATATTCTTCGTTGTGGGTCCTTCTAGTTGTGGTATGTGGGATGCTGCCTCAGCGTGGTTTGATGAGCAGTGTCATGTCCGCGCCCAGGATTCGAACCAACGAAACACTGGGCCGCCTGCAGTGGAGTGCGCGAACCTAACCACTCGGCCACGGGGCCAGCCCCCTCACAGGCTTTCTTTCTTGCTCCTTGTCAACTCTTGAAGGCGGGTATCATTACCCCCTTTTATAAGGCAAGCACCAGAGGTCTGGAAAATATGACTGGCTCCAAGTCCCAGAGCTACGTGAGAGACATGGCTAAACCACCCTGATGTCCTCTCATCTTCCCACCATCTCTTCCTCCCAACTCCCTTTCCTTCCCCATCTTCCTCTTCCCTATCAGTCTCTCTGGTGTTGAATCTCTGGTATGGTAAAATTCTTTTGGAAAACTTCCAGTTTCCTTTTTCTTCTTTGAGCATATACTGTGCCTTCCATTTTGTTTAGAACCAACTGCAAATCTCATCTTTGACTCATGAGACAAATGCTCTAAACCAGATTATATTGTGTACACTCTTTCTCTCTCCTACTCTTGCTTTCCAGTCAATGTCTCCTGGGTCTGGTTTGCTGTTCTTGTAGATTTGCTGGGTGAAAAGCATGGAGTGCTCATAAACTGCACCCCTTGTCAGTTGCAAAGAGCCCTCTTAGCCAATCAAAATGCGGGTGACTGTGTTCTGGCCAGGTCTGGGGTAGTTGGAATGAAATCAAAATATGAAACCATGTTCCTGTGAAGGATGGAAGAAAGGAGACATTCCTTAGTATTAGCTAGAGATTTTTCTGAAAGCAGAAGGCCCAGGAAAAGAAACTAACTGTATTCTGAATAGAGTTTGTTTTAAGTACCTGATTCCTGCTGTGAACAGTGATATGTGGTTGTTTTATAAATTAGCCACATTTGAGTTCTAAATCACTATGGGTGTAGCAGAGCCCTTGATATAAGACTAAGCTTATTTTTCAACAAACAAAATAATTGCTCAACATTGGTGAGTTGGTGGGAGAGGGGAGGAGGCAGTCTGCTTTTTGAGGAACTCTACCTGCTACCCAGATAATATTCTGAATACCTGACAGTACAGAATAATGGTATTGATAAGATGAATAAATCTGATCCTGGCTATTTTATGTCAAATTGGTAGAAGACAAATTTTCATGCAAGAATGCAGAAAAGTAATAAACCTGTTTAAGGAAGAAATTTAATGGTTTCTAAGCCTATATATTTCTAATAATTGTTTATACTTTTAATTTAATACTATTATTCCTA